GCAGCAGCGCGGCCGGCAGGCCCGCGCGCGCCACGCCCCACGCCATCGCCAGCAGAGACGACCCCATCATCGTGTTCCACACGGAGAAGCTGCCACATCACGCATTCGTTACTGCATCTTCCCAGTCCACAATCGTTGCTCTTAGCTCTCTAATCAACTAGTGTTGTATAAACTTGTGACTCACATAGTGACCAACGAGCTCTGCCGCGACTCCGGCTCCGATTTGTCTTCCTTCTCCAAGCGCTTGTATGTGTCAATGATGTCGCGGCCGGAGATCTCACCTGGGCCCTGACAAAGGTAATTTCAATGCAAGTAATTATTATTTTGGTTATTAAATTTGAAGTTAATTATTCATTTCATTTACTTTATTTGAGATATGTCTGATGTCAACAACTGTAATAATTCAAGGAAAGCGATATCGAAAGGCGCGTGCCTGTTTATTGCTCCCGAGAGCCTGGCCTGCTGCCGGCTGGCGGCATTATTGCAATTTATAGATAACAATAATTAAAGTTATTTATCACATGGAACACTTTCTTCTATCAATAAGTATACAAAAAGAACAGATAGAAAAAATAAATAAACAAACCAATGAGTCGGAGAAGGTAATACTGTTATATGTGGTGTGTGCGGGTGCGGGGGCGGGGGCGGGGGCGGAGAGTAGTGCGTGGTGCGCGGGCAGCAGGGGGGCGCGCTCGCCGCAGTTGACGGCGCTGCTGAAGCTTGCCGAGTGCGAGCAGAATGGACTCCTGCTTACGCATACATTGTTATTAAACTTAAATTGTACATACGGAATATAAATTTCTAATTACACATAATAATGACATCCAAACTCACTTGTAAGTAGCATAGTGGTAGTCCTCCGCGCCGCACTCGCAATCCGACATGTCGGAGCACGCGCTGCCGAATATTCTGCCAAAATAAAGTTAATGAGACATTAAAATTAAAATAGAAATAAAACTGGGTTTTCATAAGGTCAGGTCAAATGGCACATAATGTGAGGCGCAATCTTCGCGACGCGGATTTGTAAGTGACCTATTTAACAATTGCAACATCTAAAACACTTTAATTGTAAGATTATCAATATCGCGTCTTTACAATTTCCGCATTGTGACTGTTGACCCACATGTCAGCTGGTGATAATAACTACAACTTACTGTTATTCAAGTTAAACAAGAGTTTAAGAAGGCAACAGAAAAAATAAATTAACATACTTAGATCGTGTTAAAGTTGCAATTATACACTCTTGTAGAACTGCTACAACTTAAGTGGACAGAAAATATTGTACTGCTGAAGCACAACACACTTGATAAGCAGACTTTGTAGCTTGTTTCCGTCTGACCTAAACAGTACAAACGCGGGAACCTAATGTTCCCCTTGTTATAGACTCTCTGACGTAAATACCTATTTATTGACCGTTCTATTGATTTGTTGATATTTACGTTGACTTCTGGCGGCTGACGAAACAATTATCTACATTTCATCATCTTTTTATCTAATTAAATGCATACAATGTAACCGATGTCCCCTTTCCTGTCGACGTCATTCAGTCGCCAGGACTCTGGGAATGGGGAGAGTGGGGCTAACTAAAAACTATTTGGATTAAGACAAAAGAAACTGCACCTTCTACAGTGAAGCCCAAGGCCTGGTTCATCGGCTGGAGGTGATCATGGATACAAATATTACGCTCAAAGTGTACTTGAGGTCTGCAGGAGCCTGCTGGCTCTGTCAGCCAGGATGTACCCTCCCTAACATACTACGAACTCATTTCTCTTGCATTTTCACAGTCCTTTCCAATAGCAGAATTATTCCTATGTTTATTGAAGATGAGACAATAGCCACCATAAAGTATTGATAACAGGTACTGACTGAAATGACTAGGATTTATATGACAGCTAACACATTTTTACAGAGGAAGCGACATTCGGTAGTTTTATTTATATTTTTAAGGGATTAAAATGTAAGAAATAGTATTAGTAATAAACGATAACTTTAGGTAACTAAACTAACTAGTATGTAGCATCTTTCCAGATGACTCATTGTGTTATTTTCTCGTTATTCTTTTATTATTGCGAAACTTAAATATATGGTAAGGTCTAAAAACATGAATTAAATTTTATCTCACGCTCGGTGCAGTTCATTATTTGTTTTACAGTATTTATAAATGTAATTAACTTATATAAATCATTTTTAATTATGCTGATGAATAATGCGACGAGCAATGCCGGTGGACAGATACTGTATGAGATTGAGTGTAATTCATCAAGTTTATGTGCGATTTGCATTATCTCTGTCATACACAATCCTTGACTTTTTGCACCGACGCGGCGACAGCCGGCGTAATGAACTCTGTGCAAAACAAGCTGAATACTGCAATACTGACCGCAAAATAACAGACAGAATATGAAGAATGCAAACTAAAGTGACATCACCTTATCGCATAATGTTTAAGAATAGCGTCGCTAATCTTCGGCAACCCCAAGGGACGTACTGAATGTGCTACGCCTGTATAGAAGATTTAAGACTAGACTTACCCATAGCTGGAATTTGACTGTACAGAGCTAGGTGCTGACTCATCGCCACCTCCCCGCGCACTCTTCACCAGCCGCATCCTGTCACCAGCGCCAACGCACAGCACCCACAGACGAGGACAGGCACTAACACGTAGGCAGACGACGACACGAACTGGTGCGCCGGCGGACCGCGTTTCAGCAGATAGTATAATGCTCTCTTTATTATAGCATTGTTTACGTTAATCAGAAAACTATAACAATGATTTACGCATCTCGCGAAATCATGTTGCAGTAGTAATATAAAGTAGTCATTATGTCAAATGTCTAATGAGTGAAATAAAAACATTATAGTTGGGGAAGTGTAATTGTTCCTATGAAGATGAGAGATGGCTTCCATGTGAATCTACATAAGCATATTTTTATAAAAGTAACTTATAAATTCATGTCGTTGAAATCCAGTAGTTTGTTTTATTAGGTACCTACTCTAAGGGTTTCTTTCCTTTTAGAAGACTGAGATTTAATATATGTAATAACTGTTTAAGTGTAGGACGAATCTAGTCATTATATTTTAGTCAAAGATATTTTAATTTAACTGCGACATGTACCGACGGTTGATGGTTACGTATCGTTTTTGAATCGACTCGTAAAATCCACAGATTGTTGTCGCGGGGGCAACAAAGACCGCAATTCCCTAATTATAACAATGTTATCGTTTTAAAACTATTTTGGTACATTAAGATAAAGAGACAAAACGCTAACATAACATAATTAAGCTTCGTCTTGTTTGAAAAAACTTGTGATATGAAATATTTTAATGTTGACTTAAGCTGCGTCATTTCTGTAGTTTACAGATCAATTTGTTTACGATTTTACTCATTTTTAAGAGTAGTAAATGTTAAATAAACAACTAATACATGTAAGGATTTGAGATTTTTTAATAAACGGGGACAAAGGAGCAGCTAAATTGGTCATTCACTTTTTACTACATTTTTATTCATAACACTGAAGTTACTCAACTGTTTTTGTACTACCTACATACTCATATCATAGTTAATGGATGTTAAGTTTACATGTGTTAAGTTGACAGTGGTAGTGCCCGCTATAACATCTTAGCACGAATGGGCCGGCACGCCCCCAGTAATACCACGACCACACAGAAGACAGGCGTGAAATGGAAGCAATTTCGTGTTTCGTCTGATTAGTGTGGTGCCGGAAGCCTAATTTAAGTCCCTTTTTCTTTACCACCCTTTTCTTACAAGGAGAGGATGGGAAGGGGAAGTGGATTTGACGGAGTAGGAGATACATAGGAAGGGGAGATATACTCATGTGCGTTTCCTCCTCTGTTGGATAAGGGTCGGCAACGCGGATGTCTATGGGCAGCGGTCGCTTCGCCATTTTTCGCGGATTCAGGCCGCTTGCTCGTTTGCCACCTTATGTTATAAAAAAAAACATGTTTAATTAGGTCTATAGATCATTTATTTCTATTTCACAGTTCTATAAAAAACATATTCTGAGAGTCAGACAGTAAGGTCATTGTCTCTGATCTTAGATAAAACTAAATTAGGACATCATTATGATACATTCAACAAGCTTGTTTATTTACTGCTTAATTATAAAACAAATCATAATTATTTATCTTTTATGATTAGCTAAACATTTCTTCCAAATGAATGTTTAACAGGATAGTATAACAGATGGCGCTACTGTAAAGCAAATTGTATATCTTATTCAATGTTTGTTGTAGGTGTTTTTGAGAAGTGTCATAACTTGTACAAATGAATTTTATAGCTTAAAAGCATAGAAACCCTGGCCTCAACATCACTTTCTACTATATACAAAGAAGCTAGTTTTAATATTTGTGTTCAGACTATAAATTAAGTAATACCTTACTCAGTGGCTAGGATATTGTGACACATTATCAGCTGAGTCATTTTAAAATTTAGATTTTTTTTAGAAACCTTATTAAGTAAAAGTGATAAATAAGTCAAAGATATTACTTTTCAAATTGTTTATTTATATTTACATGAATTACCTAACAAATAAATAACTTAAAGTGTAAATTTTTAAAGATGTATTAAAGTGAAGTTTAATCAAATCTTTGGCTGTATTTTGCAACTACATTACTAACTTTTGACAATTTGAAAATTACACATATTCTAGTTGAATTGAAAATATTATGAATGATTGTCAGTTTTCATTACATATTACCAATTTCTGGGATATTCAGTAAAAGTTTCTGACGTTTATGACAAATTATATAAAACAATGTGTTGCCTTCAAAAGAAATGATCACCTTTTGTTAGTCTAGGAGCATTTAAAGTAGAAACTCTACTTTGTCCATGCAACTGATGCTCAAATGTAGTCTTACATCGAACATTCCTTTTAAAGGAAAAGATTAACTAACTAAAAATTTGTTTTATATTAATTATAATAACTTGATGGCATATTTTATCCACTTGGAAACATTGTTATTTCAAACAATACAAAATGAGATATTAATTTATGAATTGTTACAAACATTAAAGGAACAGACCATCCTGATCGCTTGTCCCGCTTTGTATTTTGAGATATTATGAACAAGTTTAATAAAACTACATTTAAATGTTGAATCCCATTTTCCTCATACAGGCTTTGTGTTCTTCTATTAATGGGCCACAGTTCTCTTCGCCATTCTCAATTATGCTGAAATAACACAAAAACATACTTTTGAAATATCTATTAAGGAAATTGTTGTTGATATTGCAATTTTATTCTTGTTTTATAACAATGCATTTGTATATAGTGTGGTATAAAATAATAAGATTTGCTGTATTGTTTGTTCTCAATGAAAAACTACACATAGATATTGCGCAATACATCTGAAAAAATATAACCTTACCAAGCATCTCGCGCTCTCTTCGTTTCAGGACACGCACAGCACGGCTTTAGTTTGGGCTTTTCGGTATTAGATGGCGCCGCTACTTCCACTGCTTTCGCTTCCACTGCCTTAGCACTTGCGTTTCCCATTATTATTGTTTAAATATTAAATAAAAACCAAGATCAGATCAATTTTTCATTTAACTGACAGTTTGACATTGACAAGACATGTGACAATGACAGATGTATTGTAACAGAGTATATTATCTGTCACGATATTATTTTTGTTTTTGAACGAAATGTAATTACCTTGAAAAACAAACTAAATACTTTTGTCTTACTTTTCTGGAGTAATTTCAACGAATATCGAAATTATCCTTAATGGATTTAGTTATTCTATTTTACTTAACTACAGAATCTAAAATGTACGTTTTTCATATTTTTTTCATTCCATTTTTTACTGCAACTCGTGGTCAATATTTTCATATTTTATTTAGTAACAGAAGGTGGGCAATTAAAAATAAATAAAACTCAGTTTGCATTTTTTCACACTTTAATCATACAAAGGAAACTTACAAAAATCATGCAAATATTATCTTGATCCTTAAAATCTTAAAATTTAGGGAATGCACAGGACGTCCAACTCGTCCTTGTGATCGTATGCTTTAAGATACGAGTATAATCACTCAGAAGCGATACACGAAACATCTCATAATCAAAGTTTAAAACCGTTCAAAATATCAATCGTGTTCATGATTAAAAAATAATATTAAAAAGCTAAATTAATGATTGGTGACGTTGTAAATGTATTGATACATAATTGTATGGTGCTCTTTGTGGTAGAAGGTTTGAATAGATTCACATCAGTTACGTATCAACCAGTTACTGCCCAAAACATATTAAAAACGCAGATGTAAACGACACAATATTCATTTTAAATTAGTATGTTAATATGGTTAAAAATCAAAATGCAAATACTAGTAAAAAGAAAAGTAAACACGTAATGCACACAGACAGACACATAAAATGATCATTGTATATGTAAAAAATGTTTTTTGATTAAAATATAGTTGCGAGCGCTGCGCCGGCGCGTCGCTTCGCGTCAGCTCCCGCTCACTCGATGTGTTGATTCGATTATAGTCTTAGTTTAATACAAGTCAAAAATTTATCTCATATGCCGTCCGAATGTCTACTATACTTTGATATGCCGATCGTCGCTCACCGCCAATGCCTACCTCTCTTTAAATGCCATATTCTAGCAAATATGATATCAAAAGTGATGCTTACATTGGTCTGAAATAGATAAAAGTTGTAAACGAAAACAACCAAACTTCAAATCGGCTCAATAATCAATAAATAAAAATCGCCAACGGATGTAATCTCAATAATCAGTAACAGCGTCTCCTTTATGTTGAGATACAACTAAAATATATGTTATAATCAAAAAATAAAACATGCTCTAAAAATCTATGTAAAATAAAATTAAAAACTTAAAATGAACAGGAAGGCTCTCAGCCCGTTTACTTCAACAATTCTACGAGTCTACGTTGAGGATCAAATCGTCGCAACGCTTTCAGCTATCACAAACATTTAAAATACATCGACTAAAATTCTAAACTCTCATAAAATACAAGCTCACGACAGATCCGTGACAATGGCGGCGGAGCATTCCATGCTCTCAAATATTAAACTAAAATAATTTTAAACAAAACACGCCATTGACTCACAAATTAAAACTTTAAACAATTCGATCAATATCTTAAAAAAGGCAAGGACAATACGATTCCTTGCATATACAATTAAAGTGCATATGTAACATTCGTATCAGTCTCTACGTTATTAGGAATCATAGTTTCATTCGAGATCGGGGCAACGGTCGCCCGCCGCTGCGAGTCAGTCTCAGCCTCATTCATTACAGACTAACAATACTTGACCTTGCAATTATTACATTAAAATTGCATATCAATTACAATTGCATAAATAACGGTCAATATCATTCTGGAACATTTTCAAATTTGATTTAAAAATACACTTAATCAAAAGTTGTTTTGAGAAATTTTAAATTTCATGCCATTGATATGGCAACATTGGATTGCGTTTTAAAACTTTAGGTCGTGATTTTTGAGAATTGATTTCAATTTAGATGGTGTTGCAGTTGATGATGTGTTGGTGGTGTTACCAGTTGTCTTGCAGCGGCTGCAGGTCGTACTG